TTATATATATATATATAAATATATATATATTAATTAAAAAAAAAAATTTAGGATATATTGACGCTGTAGGATTATACTGAGGCTGAGTGCGTTTTATTGCGAAAGAGAGAAAGAGCGAGAGAGCGCGAGCGAGCGAGAGATAAAGCGAGATAGAGGCCGCGGTTCTTTTTGTTTTCCGAACGTCGTCGAGGACAAAACAAAAAAGTTCACGGTCAGAGTTTTGCGCTAGGCGAACTATAAAGGCTGAAGGCTTTAGAATCGAGAGAGGATGAAGTGTAGCTCGTAGGATTTTTGTCGGGCCGACACAAAAAGGACGGACGTGCGTGACTCTGGCATTACTTTAGTAAGAGCCAATTCAGTTTCAACTCGCGGACGCGCTGTCTCATTTATCGATGGAATCGCACCGATTGGCAACTCCTCGGTTTTTTTTCCTTTGAAGAATGAAATCAATTCGAGGATGAGGCGAGGCCAGAAAATTCAATCCAATAATATTTTTTGAAAGAGAGAAATTCAAACTGGCGTTTACGTCCATTTCTATCAATGTCTATTGATTTTAATCTCGGCTTAATTTACTCTTTAACTTTTCCCAATTCTTAGGACAAAAAAAAGAAAAGATGAAAAGTAAGTTAAACCGGAGATTAAAATAAATCTATGTTAATAATAATAAAGAAAATAAACATTAATCAGAGATTTCGATAAAGCAATTGAGGAAAATTAATCGCTCATTTTAAGAGAGTAAAAAAAAAGAAAAAAATTCAAACGTCTTACGAAAGTGCAACCGTCGATACGCGAGACGGGCGATCTGTGAGTTTCACGCATGCGAAAATCGATCGGCAAGAGCTTTCGTTCCACGCACGTGTGAAATCTTTCCTTTGATCGTCATTATTGCCGCGGTATTGGGTGGTGGGAGAAAAAAACAAAAAAAAAAGGAAGAATCAGCAGAAGAAAGCAAATTGCACAGCGAACAGCGACAGCCGACTATAAAACAGAACATAAGTAGTCTCCGTACACACGATTTACGACTAGTTTTACAGGACGTGTGGCCGAGATGACGGTGTCTTCTTTCCCGCCCCCCGGAAAAGGGGTCCCAAGGCTCGCGTGATCGCGCTGAAATCGCTCCGGCAGAAATGCAAGGAAACGCGCGATCGCGCGAGTCCGGAGTCTCCACGCGTCGTCGTCGGGGCCACGCGAAAATGATAACACGCCGCGTTTTCCGTTTCTCTACTTATAGTTAACAATTAAGGGACAACTTAGATGTGGCATCTTTCTTTTTCGCGAGGACTATTAGTCGAGCAATAGGATCGCACAATTTTCAGAGTTCCGGTTATTTAATCGTACACGAGCCCGAGTAACACATACCTATTACACACGTACACGCAGAACACGACATACATACACGTATACATGCGCACACACACGCACACACACACACACACACACACACACACACACACACACACACACACACACACATACTCGACATTTACATTATTCAAGAAGCCGAGGGGACATACGAGATTGTTTGTCTTTACTGTAAATAGAGGAGGAGCAGCATGTACGGCAAGGTTCATCGTTATCACTGTAACATGTAACATATTTATTTCTCAAGGAGTTCTCTCGTTGAGACTTCCGTTTAAGTAGCCTAAGAGAAATCCGGATTTCATTTCAATTTCCTTCCGCTCGTATGATTCGGAGGTGATGGAGCGAACCGCGTGACCGCGGGCGTCTTTCGACGAGGAAAGAGGGCTCTCTCTCTCTCTCTCCTTCTCGGAAGCTCAGTTTTTCTTTATGCCCAAGTGAACTCTCGGTGAGCTCTCGATCCTCTTCAGCATTGTCTCGATTCAATCGCGAAAGTCGCAAATGTGCGACGCGCACATCTGCGAGAATATTTATAATTGAATCAGTTGGATAACGATTTATATATATATATATATAATATACGCTTCGAAATAATTTCTCTCTCTCTTGCCGCCTTACATAGCTAGGAATTTCTTTTTAATTTCCCGGGCGAGAGATCACGATCGCGCGCGCGTTTTTGATAATTTTACATTTACTCCACCTCGAATAAGCGTGGCTATCTTTTTAATCTTTATACGATAGATACGAGAAGCCTATTATGAGCTATTTAAGCGTTTTCGATTGCAGTGGGTTTTCATTCGGGGGCTGATGACGTCATACGTGCGCATCCTGAAACGAGATGTACATAGGATGCAAGCGTTGAAAAAAAAAAGAAAGAATGAAAAAAGCGAGTGCGGGACAACGTACGTTAATCCCGATCGAAATTCATCGCGATCGAAAACGCTATAAGATATTTAAGCAAGTATTTACAATTACGGTTTAAAAGTCTAAATAAAAAGAAGAACGACAAATCTTTAGTAAGCATTGTATATTTATAATTATAGTTTAGAAATTTATTTAAAATGACAAATTTGTAACGTAGAGATTATATTTACGAATATAATTTTAAAAAGATTATTGGAAGGAACGTGTCTGTAGTAAACAATTATTACGTTAACAATTTAAGAATTTGATATTTTCTCGTATCCATCGCGTAACGCGGAGTATTATACGAAGGCATAGTCTTCGACGATTTAATCGAGACAGTGGCGGAATCGTTATTATCGATTATAAGCGCGCTCGTCGCACTCGTCGTGTGCGATGACGAACGGCGAACGGCAATATTTTGTAGAGTTACTATCGTTTTATTTTTCGCCTTTAAGGAAAAAAAAAAAAATGAGAAACGAGCACACATGCAAGTATTTCCTTTCAGTAGGTAGCCCAATTCCGTTTGGATAAGTCGCCCGTACCGATAGATTATATCGAGATAAGAACAACGCGTGATAACAACGCGAGATGTAGCCGTGACGAGGACTCGTGAAACGACGTTCGTTCCCGATTTACTTCGAAAAAAAAAAAAAGAGAAAGAAAGAAAAAAAAAAGAAAAGAAAAAAGGTGTGCGAAGACGTAAACGCCTCGTGCACAATTTGCTTTAGTCACGGACGCAGAAACGCAGAATCGTTCGCCCATTATTAAACGCGTTCTCCCCCTTCCTCCTCCTTCCCAGATCCTTTTCCAAACCCGGTCCCAACTTTTATTTATTACCGACTAGTTCGTAAGATGACGTTCTACCGAGGTATGCTATACTTATAAATACACCCTATATATAGTGCAGTAAGCAACTTACATTACCTACCTACCTACCTACCTACCTACCTACCTACCCATCAACCTACCTACCAACCTACCTATCCGCGCGCTTGACGGGTGGAACAAACAGATGAATCACGCAATCATACATTTAAGTTGCTACTTGGCACGTATACCTAAGTAATATACTAACATAAACAGTATGCAATAACAAATAAATATGAGAAACGAAACGTGTGTGTGTCTCTTTCCATACCTGTCCTCCAATCTTCGCTTTTGCCTTCTTAAATTTCGTTGAATCTTAATAAAACTATGCCGATCTAATTCATAATGGAACTATTCTCATCTCGATAATATATTAATTGTTAAGAACTTTTATCGGTCATAAAAAAATAATTTAAAAAAACACACTGGGTCTCGGTCGAATTTTGCATGTATCGGATACACATCGTATGTATCATAAGATAATATAGAGCGACATAATCGGTAAAATAATACGATGGATTTCTAACAAAGTAATGCATTTTCGGAAAACATTTATTTAGTACTGAGCAATTTTATACAAGATAAATAATTCTGAATTTTCAATCGACTAAAGAAATAGTGACAAAGTAATAATTTCCTGGAAACAATAACAGATATTATTGACATTGAGAACAATGCATTGAATAAATTCCGTGATCTGAAAAAGATTTAACATAACATTATGAAATTAAGACCTGTTTCCTGACAACAATCATATTAAGTTATTAGAAACGAACCATCGTTCTTTTATTTTCCCGTAGTATATGTTAAAATAAATTAATTTTTTCACCTGTCACTATGGCATAAATTAATAACATTTCATAATTATTTCTTTAAATCGTAGATTAAAAATCTTAATCAATTAATAGAGAAGACTACTCAGTCAATCCATTTAATTAATTATCAGAGAATAAAGTTATTTCAATGTATAACGCAAAAGGATATATTCACATTTTCATTGTCACTGTGTGTCTATAACTGAATATGGCTGCAAACAAAGGCATTAAAACAATGCAAATGGTAAAAAATTACCATCAGTATTTTTTATATAAATGTCTACGTCTTGATTGCATTGTTCTGAAATAAATTTTTTTAAGAAAAGTCTTGTATAGCCTCTTTAATTAGAGAACTATAAAAACTGCTCGGTTTAATTTTAACCGATCTATTCTTTAAAAAGAAACGAGCTAAAAACATTTTTGTTAACTATTTAATCGCCGCATCGCGTTATCTACACTTTTTGCACGTTTGGTATACTGTTCTGGTGAGATTGTTGTTCAGCGGGAATTTTCAAATCTTGTTGCTGTGGAAGTTTGTGATTGGCTTGTGCAGCACCTTGACTGCTCGATGAAATATTATCCTGAGTATTCTGTGGCACTTGATTCTGCATTTGTTGCTGCTGCGTTTGCTGCTGATTCTGCTGAGGCTGGCTCTGCGCCCGTTGCTGAGTCTGCTGGCCTTGGAATTGTTGCTGCGCTTGTTGAGGTTGTCCTTGATACTGTTGCTGAGGTTGTTGAGCCTGGAATTGATGTTGCGCTACTGGCACTTGATATTGTGGTTGTTGCGCCTGGTATTGTTGTTGCTGCGGAATCTGGCCGGGATAATGATGAGGTGGTGGAACTTGAGGTTGATAGGGTTGTTGTGGCGGCACCTGATATTGTTGTTGTGGCACATGACCAGCTACTGGTTGCTGCGGTATCTGTGCGGGATACTGCTGCTGCGATGGATGCACCTGTTGCGGATGATACTGTTGCTGATATTGCGGTGGAAACTACGAAACAATAAAAAAAGTTTAACATTAAGAGAAAATAATCGCAAGTTCGCTGAGACTAGAATTTGCAAAATGCTTCATGGTTTTGCAATTACTCACCTGTTCGTGTTGGACAGGTAGATGTGCAGTGTCAGGGGGTGGTGGTAACTAACAACAACAACAGAAAGTGCACAAGCTAAGTTAATTACTCTAATCACTACTTGATGAGACGTCTTTTAGTCAAAGCGATAGCGATAATGCCTACGCAGTAGTTGAGCAGCTTATAAAACACGCTTGTCGTGCTAGTAATTACACAGTCGCGCATAATGACGTCTACGATAAATGGTCTTTTGGTTGAAAAAGCAATAAAGTAAAAGTTCTATTTTTATCTCGAACATGCTATCGAAGATATGTATATGGAAGCGAAAAATAAAATCATTTAGGTAGCATTCAAAGTCTATATAAGAGTAATATACAAAAATAAAATAAAATCTTGACATATGCAAGAATTTAATCCTGTAATTACTTAATACAGTAATTACAATTACTGAGATACACAACTCGATAAATACGATTACTCTATTTGATTTTTAAGTGCCAGATTAAACTTGACAACTAATTGCTCACCATTCCTTTGGCGACCATTTTCTCGATTTCTTCCTGCCTATGTCTCTGGAAAGCTTCGTATTCTTGCTGAGAATAAATTTGTTGTTCATCCAATCCTTGCCATCCTTCATCTTGCTGGAAGTCAGGCTTCTTTGTTTGTTCTAAAAATTCTTGATAACTGCAATGAACGCAGAGTAGTATATTTGATTATTATAAAAAAAAAATTCTGAATGCAAATTTTAATCGTTTCTCAAATATATACCTTATGAGGCCATCGTGATTAAGATCAGCTTCATTAAACACGTGTTCTCTCATTCTTTCCATTTCTTCACGTCTTTCATAGATGTCATCTTCTGGTGCGCCTTCGGTGTAAAGTTTATCCAATTCCTTCAAGAATAGAGCCTTTACTTCGTCCTGGTCCCAGAAACCATTGCCATCCAAATCTGAATTGATTTATAATTGTATATGTGTAAAAAGATCATTTTTTTAGGTAATAATACCAATTGATTTTTCTTACCGTGAAGATAAAAGAATGTTTTGGGATCGAATTCTTGATCTTCCATATGGTCTTGCTTCTCCCATACTTCCTCCAGCTGTTGTTTGCTACCGGGATGATGCAACTGCGAATGCATATTATTTCTTAGAAAAGAAAGTATACAAAAGAGCCTAAATATATCTATTTTTCAACTTACAGGTTTGTGATCTTTGTGTTTTTTCTTCATCGCTTCTAATTCTTCTTCGTATTTCTTCCTTTCTTCCTCCTTCATACCTTCCAAAAATAAAACATGTTAATTTCAAAAATAACAACTATAAATAACAATTATGTCAATTATTCATTAATATATACAACAAAAGGAGATTACTAATTATAGTAGCTTAGTATATTTATATGTTCGTAAATAAGCAAGCTTAAAAGCGTTGCATTTTGTTACCGGTATTACCCTTCATCTTTTGCTCCTCCTCAAATTTCTTCTGCATTTCATATTCTTTAAACTGCTGACGTCTTCGTTTATCAGCATCTGCCAAATCTTTTGTGGTCTGCAATGTTTTAAAATAATATTATCAACATGTTTAAAAACAAAAATCCATTTCAAACTCAGTCTCCTCTCAGTATTTTCTACAAATCCAGAGATAGATTTAAAAACTGCTCCTGCCTTGGCGATTAATTTCTTCAAATCGTCTATCTCAAACGTATGTGAGTTTGAATGATCCAAATGCTCCGCTATCTTCAAATGATTCAAATCCAGACCATTCATCAGATTATGCTCCTTGGTGGCAAGATGTCGTAGCCTCTCTAATTCCTCTCGTTTCAGTTCGTCCAACTTCGTCCTGACTTTGTGATCCACGAATTGCAGCTCATGCGCTATCTTGCCCGTCTACGTACAAAAATATCTACTAAGCTAAAAAAACATCTACTAAGCTAAAAAAAAAACACAATTGAAAACGACGTACATGTAAGTGAAATATGATATATTCTTAATATGACACTTACACGTATATCATCTTCATTGGCTTTTTCCAACTTTGCCCGGAACTCTGGATCACTTTCCAAAGCCTGAATTACTTCCTTTAGGTACCGGTGGTACTCCATTTGATACTCTGAATTTCCCTATAAAAACGCACGTTTCATGATGTTAGAAGCCAGATCGAAGGAATTATTCCAGAAATATACCTACCAAATCGTCAGAGTCGTCGACCTCGTTCTCCTTGTCCTTGTGATCCCCATCCTTCTTTTCTTGCGTGACGGGTGGTGCGACCGACGTTTGTATTATCAAAGCTACTAAAAATAGCGGTAGAAGGTACTGCATTTTCCTGAAACCGAGTAAAAACAAATAAACAGAGCTGTACGAAATCAAGATCTGCCATAGAAACTATAGGAGTTGAAAGTATACATTTCTTCAGACGTTGAAGTAAAAGCAAAGCGTTCACTTCACGCGTTCGAAAACCGGCTATTCGTTCGATCGATTTATTTAATTTAAGTCTCTTTATATTTCTCAGTCAGTTGCGCGTTATCTTTGATTCGATAAAGCGTGACCGACGACGACGACGACGATTACGATCGCACGCATCGAAAGTGTGAAAGAAATGCGCGATAGGAGAAATCGGCAGAAAAAGACCCCGGCGTTATCAATTCGTCACATCGAGGACGATTGAGAGCTGCAGAGGCCAGCGGGATTCGGATGTGCGCGCACATGTGCGAACGAGTGGCGTCATGCTGTGACGTGTGCGATCCGCAGCCCGGGAAATCCGGAGCCGACGTCAATAAAAAAAAAAAAAAAAACTATATGTGGTGTGACGCCGCCACGGCTGTAGAAATTTCGCGCGTGAAAGCGCGCATGGCCGGCCACGTCAGCCGTTAGAACGAAAACGCATCACCTCTGAGGTGATGTAAAAGACCTCGGAAATGGTGTAAGAAATGAATTGGTCGTTTATCGATCATTAAGATAAAACGTGCAGCATACATTCAGAGTGAATGCATAAATAAATAAAAAGAGCTTACGAGTGAAGATAATAGCGGGGAGCTTGTTGACGATGCGACTGTTTAATGTCCACTTCTATCGATATAAAGTAATTTTAACAGCGGTTTAATTCACTCTTTATCTCTCTTTTTTTTTTTAATTTTTAAGATAAAGAAAGAGAAGAAATTAAAATGAGAATTGACATAAGAAATGTCGTCGCCCTTTCACTTTCATACTCTACAACCTAGATATGTTTCCTGTCCTCTTCTTCCAAATTAATTTTATCTCTTTATCTTTATATATTTATTTTAATTTATTCTCGTTATCTTTCCCTAACTCTTAAAACAGAGAAAAAAATACAAAGTAAATTAAAACAAGAACCGACATAAGAAATATCGACGATTGTCTATATTTTCATCTGCAACAGAGATATATATGTTTTTTGGCCATTTTTTCTAAATTAACTTTATCTCGGTTTAATTTATTCTCTTTATTTTTTTTCTAATTTTTAGAACAAAAGAAAAATAAGAAAAAGTTAAAGTGAGAAACAAGATCTAAGAAAAACAATTTTAAGATGATCTTCTTCTGTTTATTTTCATTTGCAACGGAAGTATGTATTTTCATTTGTATCAACTTTAATCTCGGTTTATCTTATTTTTTATCGTTTTTCAGTCTTAAAAATTTGGAAAAAATAAAGACTTAAGTTAAGCGGAAATGAAAGCTAAACTATATAGATAAAATAGATATTGCAGCATGGACAGTTTATACGATGGTAGATAAATAAATATTTCCCATAGAACAAATATCTAGTATGTACACATAGATCTTTTTTTTTTAAATACACTTATATCATATTATGCAATTCTGCACATCTCATTCTATTTAGAATGTTGCATTTTTTATGTACGCGTTTCTTCATTTCCTATACATTCAAAATGTATCTTCTCTCGACTGCGGAAATTGTCAAACATTTTTCCTTCCGTGTATTTTTTGCCTCGCTCATTTAATCAACACGATTGCGACATACCATGCGTGTGTTCTCCTCCGAAACTCGCATGTGTGCGTGCGAAAAAGAGGACATCAACTCACACAGGCACATACGTGGAGGAGAAGAAGTACAGTAAGGAACGAAGATAAACGCAGATAAACAAGACGAAGGCCGCGTAATGAAGGAGGCAGCGGAAAATCGCTCGCGAGAGATCCGCGGTGAAAGTTCGGCGAGAGTAGTCCGACGGTAGTCAGTTCGGAGCAGAGGGATTTTCCCTCATGCGAAAAAAAAAGAAAAAAAAAAAACGATATTTAGGTATTTAGGTAACATAAGCGGCGAAGGGCGCCGGCTGGAGGGAAGTAACCGAGAGATACGAAGTAGGTTCGGCTTACGTCAAAACGAGTGCCCCGTGGTGCCGAGATGTCCAGATGACTTCGTGCCTCCGGAATGCCGGAATGTCGATCGTCGACGAGAACTGTCGAGAATGGACTGACGTACGAGCGCAAACGAACGCGAGCGAACGTCATACGAAGGTGGAGCAGGTAGACCACCTAACCGCGTATTTCCCGTCGGCCACCGACTTGTGCTGCCACCCGACCAAAACTCCACGTCTCGCAGAAGCGAGCTTAATCGATATATACACCGCCGGATATTTAACGCAACTTCGATTGCGATTGCGCGAACGTCCCGCGTGCGTTTTTTTTCGTTAGAAAAAACGAGATGGAAGATTTGAGAATTATATAGAACGTTTGAAAGAACTTTGTGGCAAAGGCAAAGGCGTATATTTGGAACAAGCGCGTATATATTTTTTTCGCTACTTTGGCTCTTGGACTACCATCGTTGCTTTTCGCTTGAATGAAATCCAGCCAGGCGAGCCACGTGGCACGCACGCCAGATGGTGACAGATGTTTCATTCATGCGTGGTTTGACAGATCGATTCTACCGAGTTGGATTCTGGAATCTTGACGAGTTCTTATCTGTTGCGCGTAATTCGACAATGAGGATTAGCTTATCACGTTCGAGATTTTCAACTTTGATTTACTTTAGGATAAACATAATGGGTCAGAATTAGAATTAATTAAGCATACTAATATTATATTATTTTATTCTAATTTCAATAAATGTTTTATCCGAATTAAATTTAAGAATATACTAGCGATAAAAAGTATCGGAATTTATAAAAGGAACATATTTTTTATATTTACTTTGTTTGGAAAATACCAATAGATTTAGCTTATAAAAAGGTTAATTATAATATGATTTCTAACATATTTATAAAAAAAGAATATTTATAATTGATTTTTTTTGTAACTTGTAACAAAAATTTTTTTATTTATGACTTTGGTCACCAATATTTTCTGAAATGAGCAGCAAAAAAGGAATTAATAATTTAAAAGAAGACTTTGAGTTATTAAAATATCAAATAATTTAAAAATATACATATATAAAATATAAATAAAATAATCAATAATCGAATCAATAATAAAATAATTTTGAAACTCAACATATCAATTCTAAATATATATAACGTGTCTCATTTTAATGAAGAAACAGCTATTTCGTAATCTTGACACAAAAATATGACATAGATAAAAGTCTTTGACATAGATAAAAGTATTTCAAAAAGGCACATACGATAACGTTGCTGATTTAGTCATTTGAAGATCATGTAAAGATCACTACCATTTTCTTAAATAAAATTATAAAATATAAAATATTTCTAATGATTAATTATAAACATTTTAAAAATAAACTATCTCAAATGATTTATTTTTCGATAATGGTATCTTGATAGTTTTATGCATAGAGTAATGAAATGATGAAGTGAAAAAAACACATAATTATTTTTCAAAAAGTATGTAATGTATGTACGTATGTAATGTTATGTATATGTTACGTAAATACTACATATGTAAGAATTAAATTTAAACATTAAATAGTTTTCAAACCGTTCAAAAAATTATCAGTTTTTGAAAACAGAAAAATAATAAAGCGGATTTTAACGAAATTTTTATTCTTTTATTAATTAACGTTTTAACGTACGACACACTTAGATTATGATCTATCTTTTCTCATCTAAAGAAAAATTAGGGCATAAATATTATTAATACGTTGATATTTCTACCAAGCATATACCGATAAATTTAGAAATACAAATCTGGAATTTATATATAATAATTATTATACCTAAATTATTATAACCTAATTCTAAGAATATATGACACGTAAGATTCGTTGTAACAATACAACAAATAAGCTGTAATTTTTTTATCTTAAAAAATTTTTTTATCTTAAAAAATTATAAAAAAATGAATCTAGCCTTGTGTGCGCGTTCATATATATTCAATGATTTTATATTCAATATTAAGTAAAGTAAAAGTATAAACAAGTGTTAAATAGAGTAAACAACAAGTTTCGTATTGATATACCTTTGTACTTTCGTATTAACGAAAAATCCAATATCAAACTTTTGCGATTTTCTGATTTGCGTAGAAGAAAAAATCAGATTAATATAAAAATTGACAATTTAAATAGCTAGGGTACAATTCGTTTAATCTACTACAAAAAGTTGTGCGCCACGTGAGCTTATTGTGCGCCACGTAACGCAGATAATTGCGACTGTTTCAATTCACGGCTCGATAGCTACGCTGGCCGAGTGCCAGATGTAGTCGTGAACGTGCGGCTCATACAAACAAACCTACTGACAGTCATTGATGACTATCTTCCTACTCCGCACTAAAAACTAATTTGTGGGGTGCAAAGAGCCATCGTAAACCGAGCTCCGAAATTGCGAAAAAAAAACAAATACGGTCCATAAATAGCATTAGCGATTTTCCGGGAAGCAAAATCCGATGAGGACCTCGATACTGAGCGATTAATCAATTACATCGCGGCAAGTACGGTCTCTCGATTTGGGAGAGACGCCGATACGATTAATGCATCGTATTATAAAGTCGACCGTGAAATTCGCGATCGGCCGAAAAAGCAAAGATCGCGGTGTGCTAAAACGGCTGCCGCGCCGACATGAAAATCTATTACCGGTCTTAAAGGCTCGGGCCAATAACCCCATTTGCGTTTTATAGCCGGCTGCTCTATCTTGATTTGGGCGGCAAGTAGGTCCGGTGTGTTTCTCGCCCTGAAAACCGGAAAGGGAACACAGAATGCTAAGAGAGGAAGAGAGAGAGAG